AGCAATTCTCTTATAGAGATTAACAGCTTGTTTTTTGGGGGTTTTCCTTGTGTTTAAATTGTCAAAACACATTGGAATTCTCATGTCCCAAATTAGCCAAATTGGCATCTTTAAACAGTCATTTTTTTTATAAAAGATGATCGCAGGTGAACAATTGATTTTTTTTACATTTGAGCTCAAGAGGTCATTATTTTTTTAAATATAAAACGCGCATAAAAAATGCTGGCTTACCTTCTTTTATCAAAAATCGGAGCAGAAAGACAACCATGATTTTTCGGAGCAAAGAGTGAAGAAAACAGTAGACAACTTGAATTTAATTGTATGGATTTTAGTAAATGAAATAAAAACAGAAACGTGTTGGATTAATTTGAGCTAATTTATTTTTTTTGCTTCAATTATTCCAAATCACTTCACGAAGTGGGAAAGACCTATGATGCAAATGTGTTTCTTTCAACCCATTTCAGCTTTGTAAATTTTCAAATGCGGTATGATATCAAAGTCCTTTGGATCGTGAATCGTGTTCGAGATCCAAAAAACTGGAAAGTATAATATCTTATTATCAAAAAAGTCAGCATAAAAATTTTTCCATTACAAGGGTTGGAGTTTTTTTTTTAATTTGAAAACATCAAAAATTTCTCGAGGTGGGAGAGGGGCAATCTAGAAAAAAAAATTCCGAAAGTTTTGTCTACCTCTTTTGTAAGCCGACCAAAATGTTTTTCTCAGCTTTTTCAAATCAATTTAAAGACCACATTTCGACCAAATGTTTTAGGCCACGGCCAGTTTTGAATAAAATCGAGCACTGTAGTAGGTTATTTGCATTTTTCTGATAATGTATTCACTTTATGACATTTATTTTAACCCTGCATTCGCTCAGGTTTTCTTTTTTCAACAAAACTAATTTTTGATTTTCAAAACTAACCTGTTTGAAGTTCTTGTCAATCTTTTAAAGGAATTATTTAGGCAGGTGCTAAGTTTTTTTTTCTGATGAAGATCAACTACATTGGCTCAAGCTCGTCAATGTTACTTTTTAGACATCTTGTATTTGAAATACTATTGAACTTTTCGAAAAAGTAGAAGCCGATAATCAAATGGCTCGCAAAAAAATAGTTGTTGTTCAGATCAAGCTATCCAAGTAATGAAACTTTGAGCAACTTCAGGTTTAGCCATATCGTAAATCGGTTTTAAGGCTTTATAGAAAAAATCGTTCCCAAAAATTGAAGTTTTTTAAGCAAGCTAGTCCAGCTATGAGACTTTGAAAAATTTCAAAATGTTCCATGAAGAGACTCGGATGGCGATACTTTATTTTTCTAAGGAAGCTAGTCAAGCGATGAAACATTGAAATAATTCAAGTTGTTTTATCGAGCGAATCAGTCGGCAAAAAGTTAGGTTTCTCCACAGAGAAAACAGGATTGAAACAGATTCAAATTTTTCTACGCAAGTTATTGAGCGAAGATTTTAAAACTTTTCAACTTTTTTCATGGAGCAAATCGGTCGGCAAAAAATGAACTTTTGTAGTTTTGATGTTTTTCAGTATGAATTGAATGTCGAAAACTTTAAGTTTTCTGTTTGGGCCATCCAAGTGACGAATCTGAATAATTTAAGTTATTTCATGCAGGGTATCGGATAGCATAAAATTGCAGTTTTTTCTATTGCAGCCATTCAACCGACGAAACAATTTTTTTTCATAGACCAAATCGGTTTTCAAAAAAAATCATTTTTCTATTGCAAGCTTTTAAGCTGAGAAACTTTGAATCAAAGCAATTTGGGTGGCATATTTTTCAAAATTTAAACCGTTTAAGCGACAAAAATATGAATAGCTTCAAATTATGTCATAGAACGAATCGATCCGCAAAAAATCAAACTTTTATTGAAACTAAAATTTTGAAGACTGATTGGCTTCGCAAAAAATTATAAAATGTTTCTAAGTAAGCTATGAAAGTGAAACAATTCGATTTGTTTGTTAGAGCTAATCAATTTGAAATCTTTGCCATGAAGCTTTGAGTTTCAAAAGTTTCTTTGAAATGAAAATTTTTTGAAACTCTGAATTCAACTTATTTCGAAGACCGAACCGGTTCGTGGAAAGTAAAAGTTTTCTTAAGCCAGCTATTCAAGCAAGGAAAACTTTTAGATTGTTTCATAGAGCAATCAGTGAGCAAAAAGCTTTCTTAAGCTATTCAAGTTGCCATTTTTTTCAACTTATCTTATGAAAGCAATCGAATAGCGAAAAAAGTGAATTTAGTTTTTTGCACCATTCAACCAATAAAAAAAAGAAACACTTGAAGTACAAAGTACTTCCATAGACCAAATTAGAAAATTTCCAAATTTTTTAAGCAAGCTGTTTAAGCTATAAATCTTTGAATCAAACTAAGACAAATCGGATAACGAAAAATTAAAATTTTCAGCTGAAGCCATTCAACCGATGAAACTTCAAAATATTTGATTTTTTTTCATAAAGTTAACTTCAAGTTTTTCTTTTGGAGCCAATCAAACGATGGAAAAAAAATAAATCATTGATCAAAATGATTAGCGAAAAAAAAACAAGTTTTGCTTTGCTAGCTATTTGGATTAAGCTTGAAAGGCTTCAACTTATTTCTTAGAACGAATCGGTTCGCCGAAAGCTTATGTTTTCTTGAGCGAGCTATTCAAGCTATGAAATATTACAAGCTCTTTCAACTTCAAAATATTTCAAGTTATTTCATGAAGTTAATCAGATACCAAAAACACTAACGTTTTAACGAAGCAAGTTATTGAAGCAAGAAACAATTAAAATAGTTCGAGTTGTTTAGACCGAAACTTTTTGCAAAGATTTCAGTTTTCTAAGCAAACTAATTGAGCGACGAAACTTTGGAATAAAATGAAATGTTTCATAGAGCAAGGCAGCTCACAAAAAGTTGAAGTTATACTTAACCAAGCTATTGTAGCAATGAAAAAGTGTTTGTTTTTTGGAGTTCGTTCTTAGAAATTAGTTTTTCTGAAAAAATCTAAGCGGTTTCATAGATCGACTCGTTTTGCCAGAAGTTAAAATTTTCCAAAGCAAGCTATTTAAACTATGAAAATTTGAAATAATTAAAGTCAGTTCATGAAACGAACCGGAAGGCGAAAAGTATAAGTGTTTCTAGGAGAGTTTTTTTAGCTATGAAACTTTAAAAAATTTTCTGATATTTAATGAAACGAATAGTTAATTCCTAGACAGATTAGGTTTGCGAACATTTTCAATATTTCTAAGTAATTATTTAAAGCTATGAAAATTTGAAATGTTTAAATTTTTTTTTTAAACTGAATCAAAATCAGTTCGCAAAATGCTTCAAACTTTCTAAGCAAGCTATTCATGCTATGAAACTTTTCATGCCATGAAGCTTTGAGTTTCAAAAGTTTCTTTGAAACGAAAAATTTGAAACTCTGAATTCAACTTGTTTTGTAGACCGAACCGGTTCGCGAAAAGTAAAAGTTTTCCTAAGCAAGCTATTCAAGCTTTGATATATTCCATGATATTTTGTGGAATAAATTGGTTCGCAAAGAGTTAAACATTTTCTAGGCAAGGTTTAAAAGCTATGAAATTTCATGTTTTTTCAAGCTATTAAAACAATAAAACTTTGAAAAAATTCACGTTGTTTCAAAGAGCGAATCGGTCGGCGAAAAATTCAAGTTTTTCTTAGTAAAATACATTAGCCATTAAACTTTGAAAAATTTTCAAGTTGTTTCATAGACTGATTTGCACTGATTCTAATCAAACTATTCAAGCTATGAAACCTTGAAATATTTCAAGTTAATCCGTGGGTCTAATCGGTGCGCAAAAAATTTCAGTTTTTCTAAGTAGGTTGTTTTTATGCTATCAAACGCTGAAATATTTCAGTTTATTTCATGGACCGAATCGGTTCGCAAAAAACTCTTTCTTAGCATGAAAATTGCTCTTTTTAGTGGCTTCGTTTCAGACTGAAATGAATCTGGAGACACATAATTTGGACAAAAATTAGGCTGATACAGTCTAGCCTTGATGTTGGATCGAGGCCATCTTCCTCTGATGGTTGCTCTGAATAATTTTAAAACGTTGTACTCGATAGGAAAGTTAAAACGTTGCGTCCATAGCGCATTAAGACTTTCATTTAATATATCAGGTTTCTACGCTGTTTCAACTTAAAACGCTTCGGAACTTTTTCTTACTGAATTTTTGTTTAGAAAAATAATTTCGGTTAAAATTTTAAAGGGTTCTCTGGCCTGTCTCCTTGCATTGAATCAATAAAATGATTCTTTTTTTATACATTGCTAAGGTTTATTTGCAATATACATGCGCATTTTATTGCGTTTGCACACATTAGTTTATGTTGAAGGATACTTTTTGGCCACTGAAATTGGGGAGGAACTTCGTATTGTGCTGTTTTAGTTTTTACTCTTTTTTCCCTTACAAAATCAGGTACCGCAAAAAGTCCTTGAAATTTTGTCCAGTAACATATCATAAACAAGCCCTTTCAATGTTGATTTGAACGACAGTAGAAAAGTTTCAAAAAGTTGTCTGAATGATCAAAAGGACCGGCTGACAACTTTCGAGTTTTAGACTATTTCGAGGATTTAAAGCGATCAGATAAAGCGATCGACTGACGCTCAATTTACAAAACTTGGATATTTAGGCTAAAAAAAACTTAAAGTACTAAACGAAAATTAGTTTTGCAAGCTTCATGTAGCGCTTTCTTGGCGTGTTCTAAAATGTTGTGCAAGAAAATTAAAAAAGTAAATGATATTTTAACTTTTTGTTGTTTTTTTTTGAAGACAACTGAACTGTTAAGAATTATGCCTAATTTACTAACTTTTACGACTGCATATAATGAAGTTCTCTCATCACACCACGCGGAACTGCAATAATTTTTAGACAATTTTTAGTTTTTATGAATGCGGTCGGAAAATTCTGTACTACTTTACTTGCACAGCAACCGGCTATTCTTGTTCTGTTTCGCGTTCGATATTTCGCGTAATCCTAATTGAAATCTGAAAAAAATATCAAGTGAAAAAATAGAAAATAAATTAATATTACTATTCTAGTGGAAAACGGATTTGCAGTGCTCTATTAAGAAACTGACACATTCGTTTTGATATGGCATATCGATGAGTGAATTTGGCGACTTCATTGGGTTTTTCAGATCATCATTTTCTGGTCGAAAGAGACATTGTCCGAAAATAGTACCCAGATTGAAACTTGTCATTTTGTTGGCATGTGACTGTCTCGATACTTTGTACAGATGTCGTATAATTGTCTCCAAATTGGCCAAATGATAAACATTCAGTTTTTGAACTGCAGTCACCAAACGTTCAACCTATGGGTCTTTTGCTTTTACGTTATCCTTAAAAATCTCTGAAATCTAGAATCAGAGATGTTTATTCGTTTCCATAAAAGGGAGAAACGGAATTGCGAAAATAAAAAAAGTTGGTCGACTTTTTCTATTTCGTTGAAACTTTCGTGGACAAAGGATACATTTTTACAAAAACTGTTTTTAATTGCTTATTGTTTTGAGAATTTTCTGGAAGATTTTGGAAACAAAAACTAACTTTTTTGACTACAAAAATTTCGTTTACATTTGAAAGAGGCAATCTTAAAAAAAGAATTGTAAAACAGAGAAAAGGCAAAAGACCCGACCTTTTCTTCGACCGTTAAGTGCTTCAAATCTCTGAATGTAGTGACCATTTCTTCGTACTGTTCAAAGCCGATGATCGGAATCGGCAAGGCTCGTAAGTATTTTTTGAGGAAATTGGTCAAGGTGTGTATGTCTGGGTACTGTACACTGTCTATTTTGGCTTTGTCTTGATTCCGCTCGAATTCCTCTGTGATTTTCTCCCCCTCCGATTCGATAAATTCCCTGAATTTGATCACCTTAAACAGAAAACATCAGATGAGGATTTTTTTCTGCTCTACAGCCCAAATTAGACAAATTAGGTTATGTGAATGTTGCATCATCATGCTTGAGTCCGGAAAACTTCTAAAATAAAACAATCAGCAAAGAAAGTTCCAATCAAAACTGAAAACATATCTAACAAGTTATCAAAAAAATCATTTATGTTTAAAATTTTGCGTCTAAGGGAGGAAAGGGCAGGCCATTAAATTTTCAATAAACTAGTTTAAGAAAAGGTGTTACCAATAAAAACAAAATGGCTCTGAAAATCAAAGTTTGTCGCAAAACAAACTTTGAAAAAATTTACTCTAAATTGGTCTGTATCAGTAGCGGATTTAGGTGAGGGGCGGACGTCTCTTCCCTCTCAGGGATTTGAAAACCTGCCGACCCAAATGCCCAGCTTGTACTGTTTCGAAGTATCCATTTTTGGCTGAATGATCCTAAAATTTTTCTAAAGGCGCTTTCGGCGCCAATATACACTAATTTTAAAGGGGTGCAAAAATTTTCCAAAAAGTTCCTAAAAAACGTTTTTTTTTCTTCAAAATATGTTTTATTCAAAATATGTTCCAAAATTTGGCTGCGGTTTAGAAGATCTGGTCGAAATAGGGTCTTTATACTGATTTGGGAAAGCTCAGAAAAACAATTTTGTCGGCTTAAAAAAGAAGTGGACAAAAGTTTCGAAAGTTTTTCAATAATCGGCCTTCGCCCCCTCTCGAGAAAAAACTACATCCGCCTCTGGTCTGTATATTTAAAGTTGATCGGTATTGAGAAAATTTATCTGGCAGGCTTGTTTTGATACTTAGAGATTCTACTTTCCATTTTTTGGATTCCTAACACGATTCTCGACCAACAGGGCTTTGATATCATACCACAATTAAAGATATACAAAACTGAAATGGAGGCGTCTGAGGTAGCTGAAATGGGCTGTACGAAATACACTCTACATCATATTTCCTTCTCACTTCGTCAGTGATTTGGAACTATTGAAGCAAAAAAATTAAAATTAAATTCAAGCTAATTCAACACGTTCCCGTTTTTGGTTCTTACAATAGAACACAATCGAACACAGTTGTTCTTTGACGTAATATATTTCTAAGATAATGATTGACTCTGGCTGATTGATTTTTTAAACTGATTATTTTCCAGTTAAAATAACTGATTGCAGTAAAGCCAACCATTTTCCAAAGATGTTCTACTTCAATCAATTCCATTCTACGCTTAGTTCTATTCTACCCTACGCCGTTCTACTCCACGCGTTTTATTGTTCCGTTCCGGCTTTTGATAAAAAGATGGATCACTTATACTCTGTGGGGGTTTTTTTTTCAGACAAATTTTGATTTTTCAACCATTTCAGCCATTTTTGAAATGAGTATTTTATAACATCTGAAAGGTTTTTACGTGTTGACCTCAAGCTTAAAAAATTTCATTCCATTTGTGATCGTTTTTAACAAAATGGTGGCGGTTTGAAATTTAGTAATTTGGCTAACTGGGAAAAATTTGGCTAATGTCGGAGTTTGTGAAGTTGTGGCTAATAAATCGAAATCGAAGTGCCCGCGATTTACTTCGTTCTATACATGCGTGAGCAGCGTTTTAATCCGACTCAAAAGTAAATTGAATTTGATTTGAGACAAGCTCTTTGGAACAATCGCTACGTTTCTAAACAATAAGATAGCTGCTTGTACGAGTTGTTCAAGTTGTTTTATCGAGCGAATCAGTCGGCAAAAAGTTAGGTTTCTCCACAGAGAAAACAGGATTGAAACAGATTCAAATTTTTCTACGCAAGTTATTGAGCGAAGATTTTAAAACTTTTCAACTTTTTTCATGGAGCAAATCGGTCGGCAAAAAATGAACTTTTGTAGTTTTGATGTTTTTCAGTATGAATTGAATGTCGAAAACTTTAAGTTTTCTGTTTGGGCCATCCAAGTGACGAATCTGAATAATTTAAGTTATTTCATGCAGGGTATCGGATAGCATAAAATTGCAGTTTTTTCTATTGCAGCCATTCAACCGACGAAACAATTTTTTTTCATAGACCAAATCGGTTTTCAAAAAAAATCATTTTTCTATTGCAAGCTTTTAAGCTGAGAAACTTTGAATCAAAGCAATTTGGGTGGCATATTTTTCAAAATTTAAACCGTTTAAGCGACAAAAATATGAATAGCTTCAAATTATGTCATAGAACGAATCGATCCGCAAAAAATCAAACTTTTATTGAAACTAAAATTTTGAAGACTGATTGGCTTCGCAAAAAATTATAAAATGTTTCTAAGTAAGCTATGAAAGTGAAACAATTCGATTTGTTTGTTAGAGCTAATCAATTTGAAATCTTTGCCATGAAGCTTTGAGTTTCAAAAGTTTCTTTGAAATGAAAATTTTTTGAAACTCTGAATTCAACTTATTTCGAAGACCGAACCGGTTCGTGGAAAGTAAAAGTTTTCTTAAGCCAGCTATTCAAGCAAGGAAAACTTTTAGATTGTTTCATAGAGCAATCAGTGAGCAAAAAGCTTTCTTAAGCTATTCAAGTTGCCATTTTTTTCAACTTATCTTATGAAAGCAATCGAATAGCGAAAAAAGTGAATTTTGTTTTTTGCACCATTCAACCAATAAAAAAAAAGAAACACTTGAAGTACAAAGTACTTCCATAGACCAAATTAGAAAATTTCCAAATTTTTTAAGCAAGCTGTTTAAGCTATAAATCTTTGAATCAAACTAAGACAAATCGGATAACGAAAAATTAAAATTTTCAGCTGAAGCCATTCAACCGATGAAACTTCAAAATATTTGATTTTTTTTCATAAAGTTAACTTCAAGTTTTTCTTTTGGAGCCAATCAAACGATGGAAAAAAAATAAATCATTGATCAAAATGATTAGCGAAAAAAAAACAAGTTTTGCTTTGCTAGCCATTTGGATTAAGCTTGAAAGGCTTCAACTTATTTCTTAGAACGAATCGGTTCGCCGAAAGCTTATGTTTTCTTGAGCGAGCTATTCAAGCTATGAAATATTACAAGCTCTTTCAACTTCAAAATATTTCAAGTTATTTCATGAAGTTAATCAGATACCAAAAACACTAACGTTTTAACGAAGCAAGTTATTGAAGCAAGAAACAATTAAAATAGTTCGAGTTGTTTAGACCGAAACTTTTTGCAAAGATTTCAGTTTTCTAAGCAAACTAATCGAGCGACGAAACTTTGGAATAAAATGAAATGTTTCATAGAGCAAGGCAGCTCACAAAAAGTTGAAGTTATACTTAACCAAGCTATTGTAGCAATGAAAAAGTGTTTTTTTTTCGGAGTTCGTTCTTAGAAATTAGTTTTTCTGAAAAAATCTAAGCGGTTTCATAGATCGAATCGTTTTGCCAGAAGTTGAAATTTTCCAAAGCAAGCTATTTAAACTATGAAAATTTGAAATAATTAAAGTCAGTTCATGAAACGAACCGGAAGGCGAAAAGTATAAGTGTTTCTAGGAGAGTTTTTTTTCATTAAATTTTCTGATATTTAATGAAACGAATAGTTAATTCCTAGACAGATTAGGTTTGCGAACATTTTCAATATTTCTAAGTAATTATTTAAAGCTATGAAAATTTGAAATGTTTAAATTTTTTTTTTAAACTGAATCAAAATCAGTTCGCAAAATGCTTGAAACTTTCTAAGCAAGCTATTCATGCTATGAAGCTTTTCATGCCATGAAGCTTTGAGTTTCAAAAGTTTCTTTGAAACGAAAAATTTGAAACTCTGAATTCAACTTGTTTTGTAGACCGAACCGGTTCGCGAAAAGTAAAAGTTTTCCTAAGCAAGCTATTCAAGCTTTGATATATTCCATGATATTTTGTGGAATAAATTGGTTCGCAAAGAGTTAAACATTTTCTAGGCAAGGCTTAAAAGCTATGAAATTTCATGTTTTTTCAAGCTATTAAAACAATAAAACTTTGAAAAAATTCACGTTGTTTCAAAGAGCGAATCGGTCGGCGAAAAATTCAAGTTTTTCTTAGTAAAATACATTAGCCATTAAACTTTGAAAAATTTTCAAGTTATTTCATAGACTGATTTGCACTGATTCTAAGCAAACTATTCAAGCTATGAAACCTTGAAATATTTCAAGTTAATCCGTGGGCCTAATCGGTGCGCAAAAAATTTCAGTTTTTCTAAGTAGGTTGTTTTTATGCTATCAAACGCTGAAATATTTCAGTTTATTTCATGGACCGAATCGGTTCGCAAAAAACTCTTTCTTAGCATGAAAATTGCTCTTTTTAGTGGCTTCGTTTCAGACTGAAATGAATCTGGAGACACATAATTTGGACAAAAATTAGGCTGATACAGTCTAGCCTTGATGTTGGATCGAGGCCATCTTCCTCTGATGGTTGCTCTGAATAATTTTAAAACGTTGTACTCGATAGGAAAGTTAAAACGTTGCGTCCATAGCGCATTAAGACTTTCATTTAATATATCAGGTTTCTACGCTGTTTCAACTTAAAACGCTTCGGAACTTTTTCTTACTGAATTTTTGTTTAGAAAAATAATTTCGGTTAAAATTTTAAAGGGTTCTCTGGCCTGTCTCCTTGCATTGAATCAATAAAATGATTCTTTTTTTATACATTGCTAAGGTTTATTTGCAATATACATGCGCATTTTATTGCGTTTGCACACATTAGTTTATGTTGAAGGATACTTTTTGGCCACTGAAATTGGGGAGGAACTTCGTATTGTGCTGTTTTAGTTTTTACTCTTTTTTCCCTTACAAAATCAGGTACCGCAAAAAGTCCTTGAAATTTTGTCCAGTAACATATCATAAACAAGCCCTTTCAATGTTGATTTGAACGACAGTAGAAAAGTTTCAAAAAGTTGTCTGAATGATCAAAAGGACCGGCTGACAACTTTCGAGTTTTAGACTATTTCGAGGATTTAAAGCGATCAGATAAAGCGATCGACTGACGCTCAATTTATAAAACTTGGATATTTAGGCTAAAAAAAACTTAAAGTACTAAACGAAAATTAGTTTTGCAAGCTTCATATAGCGCTTTCTTGGCGTGTTCTAAAATGTTGTGCAAGAAAATTAAAAAAGTAAATGATATTTTAACTTTTTGTTGTTTTTTTTTGAAGACAACTGAACTGTTCAGAATTATGCCTAATTTACTAACTTTTACGACTGCTTATAATGAAGTTCTCTCATCACACCACGCGGAACTGCAATAATTTTTAGACAATTTTTAGTTTTTATGAATGCGGTCGGAAAATTCTGTACTACTTTACTTGCACAGCAACCGGCTATTCTTGTTCTGTTTCGCGTTCGATATTTCGCGTAATCCTAATTGAAATCTGAAAAAAATATCAAATGAAAAAATAGAAAATAAATTAATATTACTATTCTAGTGGAAAACGGATTTGCAGTGCTCTATCAAGAAACTGACACATTCGTTTTGATATGGCATATCGATGAGTGAATTTGGCGACTTCATTGGGTTTTTCAGATCATCATTTTCTGGTCGAAAGAGACATTGTCCGAAAATAGTACCCAGATTGAAACTTGTCATTTTGTTGGCATGTGACTGTCTCGATACTTTGTACAGATGTCGTATAATTGTCTCCAAATTGGCCAAATGATAAACATTCAGTTTTTGAACTGCAGTCACCAAACGTTCAACCTATGGGTCTTTTGCTTTTACGTTATCCTTAAAAATCTCTGAAATCTAGAATCAGAGATGTTTATTCGTTTCCATAAAAGGGAGAAACGGAATTGCGAAAATAAAAAAAGTTGGTCGACTTTTTCTATTTCGTTGAAACTTTCGTGGACAAAGGATACATTTTTACAAAAACTGTTTTTAATTGCTTATTGTTTTGAGAATTTTCTGGAAGATTTTGGAAACAAAAACTAACTTTTTCGACTACAAAAATTTCGTTTACATTTGAAAGAGGCAATCTTAAAAAAAGAGTTGTAAAACAGAGAAAAGGCAAAAGACCCGACCTTTTCTTCGACCGTTAAGTGCTTCAAATCTCTGAATGTAGTGACCATTTCTTCGTACTGTTCAAAGCCGATGATCGGAATCGGCAAGGCTCGTAAGTATTTTTTGAGGAAATTGGTCAAGGTGTGTATGTCTGGGTACTGCACACTGTCTATTTTGGCTTTGTCTTGATTCCGCTCGAATTCCTCTGTGATCTTCATGACGTCAGAACTTCCCCCTCCGATTCGATAAATTCCCTGAATTTGATCACCTTTAACAGAAAACATCGGATGAGGATTTTTTCTGCTCTACAGCCCAAATTTGACATATTAGGCTATGTGAATGTTGCATCATCATGCTTGAGTCCGGAAAGCTTAATATAAAACAAGCAGCAAAGAAAGTTCCAATCAAAACTAAAAACATATCTAACAAGTTATCAAAAAAATCATTTATGTTTAAAATTTTGTATCTAAGGGAGGAAAGGGCAGGCCACTAAATTTTCAATAAACTAGTTTAAGAAAAGTAGTTACCAATAAAAACAAAATAGCTCTGAAAATCAAAGTTTGTCTCGAAACAGACTTTAAAAACATTTTAGGGGAGGGGCCGAAGTCTTTTCCCCCTCAGGGATTTGAAACCCTGCCGACACAAAGGTCCCGTTTGTACTGTTTTGAAATATTCATTTTTGACTGAATGATCCTAAAATTCTAAAGGCGCTTTCGGCGCCAATATACACTAATTTTGAAGGGGGTGCAAAAACTGCAATTTTTGGTCAAAATTTTCCAAAGTTCCTAAAAACGCTTTTTTTTCAAAATATGTTCTATTCAAAATTTGGCTGCGGTCCAGAAGATCTGGTCGAAATAGGGTCTTTATACTCATTTGGGAAAGCTCAGAAAAACAATTTTGTCGGCTTAAAAAAGAAGTGGACAAAATTTTCGAAAGTTTTTCAATAATCCGCCTTCACCCCCTCTCGAGAAAATCCTACATCCGCCGCTGGTCTGTATATTCAAAACTGATCGGTACTGAGAAAATTTTTCTGGCAGGCTTGTTTTGATACTGAGAGATTGTACCTTCCATTTTTTGGATTCCTTAAGACTTAAGACCATTTATCCACGGGGGAAAGGACCAACACAAGAGCTGTACAGCTCATCCCGGCGAACCGCTGTTGTGCCCTTGTTTAAGAACTACATGCAATTTTTTGTGTGGCTTTGATATCATACCACATTTGAAAATTTACAAAATTGAAATGGAGGCATCTGAGGTAGCTGAAATGGGCTGTACGAAACACACTCTATCATAGTTCCTTCTCACTTCGTGAAGTGATTCGGAACCATTTAAGCAAAAAAGTTAAAACTAAACTCAAGCTAACTCAACACATTCTCGTTTTTGGTCCATACAATAGAACACAATCAAAAACAGTTGTTCTTTGACATAATATATTTCTTAAATGTGTTTTTAATAATTTTTTGGGACCTGTAATTCTGGCTGATTGATTTTTTAAACTGAATATTTTCCCGTGAAAATAACTGATAGCAGTAAAGCCAACCATTTTCCAAAGTTAGTTCTAATTCAATCAATGCCATTCTACGCTTAGTTCTATTCTACTCTACACCGTTCTACTCAACGCGCTTTTGCTTCATTGTTCCGTTCCGTTCCGTTCCGACTTTTGATGGAAAGATGGATCATTTATACTCTGTGGGGTTTTTTCTTTTTCGACTTTTCAACCATTTTTGAATGGAGTATTTTATAACATCTGAAAGGTTTTTACGCGCTAAGCTCAAATGTAAAAAATTCCATTTCACTTGTGATCACTTTTAACAATGTGGTGGCGGTTTGAAATTTACTAATTTGGCTAAATTGGGAAAAATTTGGCTAATGTAGGAAATTGTGAAATTTTGGCTAATAAATCAAAATCGACGCACCCGCGATTTACTTCGTTCTATACACGCGTGATCAGCGTTTTAATCTGGCTCAAAAATAGTTTCAATTTGATTTGAGACAAGCTCTTGGAACAATTATTACGTTCCTAAACACCAAGAACGCTGGTCGTACATCAGGGCAAAGACCGAAGGTTCCCACTGCCCTTCAATTCATATCGAATAGTTTTTGTGAAAACATAAAAAATTGAAAAACTATAAGTTTTGGACAATATCAATAATCAAGTGCAAAAGTTTGAATCATACGAAATTAGTACGACCAATGAGCTAGCCCTATTTCAAATTGGAACAATTTCTTTGTGCGGAATATTTTGCGGCGCATAAATAATTCGCGTTACGCTTTCAAGATTGTGGATTAAATCTTCAAAACGCGTATAAAATAGTCCAGAGCATGGTCAAATTGGCAATTTTACAACTCCCAAAACTTTGCAAAAGGTAATCGGAGGGAAAATATCTTTTTGAATTTGATTTCAGGGAGTCGGTAACTTCAATGTGGCTTAAAAATTGTTCGTTAAAAACATTTATTTTGCAAAAATTGACTGAATGAAAAGAAAAACACTATCTTGCGTTTATTTCGAAACAATTACAATTCATTACCAAATTCTTTTATACTTTACATAGCATGTGAAGGAATGATTTAAAATGATTAGTGCTTTGGGAGAGCTCGAAAAATCAATTTGGTCGACCTAAAAAAAAGGTCGACAAAAATTTCGAAATTTTTTTGAAACTCCGCCACCCCTCGAGAAAATCCTAGATCAGCCCCTGCTCTTGAGTAAAAATCACAAAACTTATGTCGTTGTTTTTATGTCGTTGTTTGATTAGTTTATGTCGTTGTTTTTATTCATTCATTTGTTTATTTGTTTAAATAATTATTTTAAAAATTTCAGCTATGAATGTCTCTCACCTTCCCTGAGTTCGATTTCTTTGATGCAAATTGTGATAACGAAGCACACGTGAGTTTTAAAAGCCATGCAGAGCACTGTGAGGTCACAGCCAACTATGGCCTTAATGAGACTCCTCTCTGGGCGACAGTAGTGACCCACTTGGTCCACACATATCTTGTGTATGGACATACCACACTTGGAACACTTCACACCCTAAATACAAAAACAAGTTCATAACTCCACAAAGCAAAAATAGCCAATCTTGTGATCTCGCTTATTTAGACGACGCACTGAGTGATATGAAAAGTAACCTGTTGCGCTGCATTTAGCAACGAAGCTTCCGGCGCCAAAATCTGCCTTTCTGATAAAAAAAATAAAACTTTGCCTTTTTGCTAAATTAAAAGTCTGCTTTTCTGCTAAAAAAAGCAATTAAAAAACTTTGGAAAAAATCAGAATTCATTTATTTTTGTTTTTAAGTATGAAGGTGTTGCAGATGTTCAAAAATGTATTTTGGTTATTTTTTCTGGGTTTTTTATAACTTGTTTCAATAGTTTCAGATCTATTTTTCCCGGTGCAAGAATTTTTTTGTTCAAAATTTCATTTTAGATCATTCTAAAAAACTTCAAGTTAGGCCATGCAGCCTTTCCATTTCATGAAGTGTTCGTAAATCATGGCTTGATATCTGATTTTGCCTATAAGGTCTGTATTCTCGAACTTCTGATAAAAACGTGTCTTTAAAACTTTTTTGAAAAGTGAATAATTTTGTAGGTCGACCAAGATTTTCCGAACTCTCCCAAATCAATAAAAAAGACCCTATTTTGACCTCATTTTCTGTGCCGTAGGCAAATTTTGAAAAACAGGCCGAAAGTTTTTTGGCTACTTATGAGAAAACTTTCAACAAAATGATGCTTTTTGGCGCGCGCTCGGAAAAAGCTAATTGTTCCGACTTTCGATACGAAAGTAACGGAATATTTGTGATCGGGTGGGTTTTTTTTTCTTCAGACAAATTTCGACTTTTTAACTAGCCAATTTTGACGGAATTTTTTTATATCATTCAAAAGATATTGTTGTCCTGAGCTTAAATTTGAAAAGATATTTCACCTGTGATCATTTTTCGTAAAGCTATGAGGGTTTAATTTTCATTTTATTTTATTTCAATTAATTTTTTAAAGTTATTACTGCTCCGTAAACCTTAAAAGGCAGTCAGAACATTCAGGGCTTCGCCCTGATCCGAGCAGTCTTGTTATATTTTGAGTTAGTATATATTGGCGCCGAAGCGCCTTCAAAAAAATTTAGAGCCGGTAGCCAAAAATGGATGTCTTAAATTAGTATCATAGAGGGTTAGTCGAAATAAGCCTTGAAAGTACCCTTTGGCTACTCAGGAAGTCGAATCCCTGAGAGTAGAGAGGCGTCCAGTCCTCTTAACCCCCTATAGCCACTACAAGTATGATTTGTTGCAAAATTGATATTTTATTAAAACTTTATGATATCAAAATTGATAACTTATTAGGCTATATCATCTAAGAAACATCCAAGAATTGTTTTTTTTTCAAGGTTGCTGGGGAGTTCAAAAATTTTTTCACCTTTTTTGAACACCTTTCTATTTTGAACACCATTTTTTCATTTTTTTTTATTTTAAGCAAAATCTGCTCATGATCTGCATCGGCTCAAGAAACTGTTATTGTTCCGACTTTCGATACGAAAGTAACGGAATATTTGTGCTCGGGGTGGGTTTTTTTTCTTCAGACAAATTTCGACTTTTTAACTAGCCATTTTTGACGAAATTTTCTTATATCATTCGAAAGCTATTGTTGTCCTGAGCTTAAATTTGAAAAGATATTTTACCTGTGATCATTTTTCGTAAAGTTATGAGGGTTTAAAGATTGCCATTTTGAACATTTTGACCGATTTGGGACAATTAACGCGCGAACCCATTTGGGAAAATTAACGGTTTTGTACTTTATTTGGCGTGTGGGGGGGATGATTTTCATAGAAAAATTTTCAAATTTTAGAAATTTTTTTTTTTCATTTTATTTTATTTTATTTCATTTTTTATGTTGTTTATGTTATTAGCGCTCCATAAACGTTAAAAGGCAGTCGGAACTTTCAGTGCTTCGCCCTGATACGAGCAGTCTTGTTTAAATTCGCTAATGATGAAGAGTTAATGTTCGTTAACTTCCAAGAGTCAATTTTGCAGTTGTATGCGTTTTTTGACAAAAATATTTAACCGAAAACTTTTCGCCGTCAAGCCGGTTTTTCTTCTTTTTTAAATAAAATGCATCAGTATTTTTGAGCAACCTGCTATGAAATTAATTGGTGAGAAAAATTGAGCAAATAAGATCAAAACAAAAGCAAATTTAAAGTGTTGTTTTCTCTTTCTCAAATACTTAATACTTATCGACTTAATCAATTTTTTTCTGATTTTCAACGGTGAAAATAAATTCTAGCAAAAAATCAAACAGTCATAAATTACTAATTTGTGAGGAAAGTTGAGCAAACAAGATCAAAACGAAAGCAAACTTAAAGTAGTGTTTTCTCTATATAAAATACTTAATAGTTATCGACTTAATCAATTTATTTTCTGATTTTCAACGGTGAAAATAAATTCTAACAAAAGATCAAACAGTCATAAATTACGTCATTTGCATTGAAGTTTGCACAATGTCGGTTATTTTTAACGAATGATGAAAATCAAATAAATTATGCTTATCATACTTGAAACATGAATCACATATTAGTCGTTTATGCTATTTGGTTTAATTTAGGCTGTTTTGAAATCGTTCAGATTGCGTAAGCTTTCTAAAAAAGTGCAATGATTAGAGCTATGTATAGTTCAAAAAAATAAGGTCAATTTCTATCGGAAATGAGACTCGTATAGGGGTATAATTTGCTCGATATTCCGGGTAATTGGTAACACAATTACAGGGTTCAGTGAAAAGGCAATTAAGGTAGTGCGTAGCACATCCACTTGGAAACACGTAAGATTTCAAGTTCGATCACCACTCTGAACTTTTCTTTCAGAAATTGTTCTGAATAAAAAAACAACCACAATCATATATTTTCCCAAATTCTTTTAGGTGAACGTCAGAGAATTTCTATATAACAAGCAAGCAACCCAGAATAATTATCAAAAACCAAGTGTTACTGTTTAGGTTCAAAACAGAAGAGATATTATACTTGTGACCCCTTTCTTTTGCGTTATGGGGGTTTAAGGTTCATCAATTTGGCTGAATCACAGGGTTTTTTTTACAGTGCTCTGTTAATTCAAATTTAACTTATGATCCTAATCATACATTTCCAGGTTTTTTTTTCAACCGGGTACACTGATCAGTGCTAAAAAAACTTTTCATTGATAACGAGGTTTGCATATTAGTTTTGTTGTTTCCCCAGTTTACTACCCGATTTTAGTTTACAGTGCTTTTTCCGGGTCTATAATATGGCCACATCAATATGACAAGCCCATTTCTCCAGACAACCAAGCAAAACACTGGCAAAACTGAGCTTCGCAAAATTTGCGATTAAACAAGTATAGGATTGAAACGGCAAAAAGCTCAAAAACTAGCAAAGAAGACTTCGAACGGTGATACCATTGAAGAAATAATTGGAAAACGGAAAAAAAAACAGAATCGGAAGATCTGATGTTTAGGTTTGGTAAAGTTTTTTTAAAGAGGTCTAATTGGGGTTGATTTTGAGCATTGAAAAGTCTTAGCGCTCTGATAGGTCCAAAACGTGATCCCAAGCGGTAACAAATAGACATCACTTGAACAGAAACCCTTTCAGTATGAAAAAATTTCCAAAAGGGTTGCAACCAAGAAAATGAAGTCCACTCGCCTCAAAACACGCACACACACACAAGCTAAAACCTTTTCCGCTCGTCAAACGGCGCAATATAAAGCCGAAACTTAAAAAACCGAAAACTTGTCATGAAATTTTAACAAATCGAGTTGGTGAATTCAAAACCAGTCGAAAAAAAAACTTTGTGTATGACGGATAATTAGTGCTTTAATGCTTAAATATGTCTGTTGGAATATTTCTAAAAAGTGGAGCAGAATATGAATGGATCTATGAGATGAGTTTATGAGAACAAATATATTTATGAGAAAAACTTTAGAACAAAAAAAGGTGATTTTGAGTTTGATAATCGATTTGATCTTGTGATCGGTCTAGGATCCCGTCTTGTCAATGAAATTTCGGTCGAAAATTAAGACATTAAACTCGAAAATAAGTAGCACTTGTCCCAGATTCTATATTAATAGCAAAATGTTTGGACAGACAAATTTATTAAAAATGAGCACTTATTTAATTTCGGCGGATTTTTGAACTGCCAAAGCGAGTTTTTAGACAAAATTGGTTTCCCAAAGTCGCATGAAAATTCAAAATTGTTAAGAATTGACAGATTGCATGTAAATTTTTTAAAAAATTGACAGATTCTATAAAAAAATTGTTAAAAAATTTACAGACTGAATTTTTCAATCAAGTTCACCTGTTCGAACTTTTTGCAACTCTCTTTACCTGAGAAACTAATCCCCACATGTAGTTATTACACACAGCACACCAGTGAGGACCGAAGAAAGTAGTGACCTTGAAACCGTGCTTGCTCTTGATTGGCTCAACAGCCTGGAAAATTCCGTCCAAGTCTCCCCGCAAATCCATTGCACTCCTTCGAACTATTACAGGTTTCGCCTCGGAGGAAATTTCCGACTTGCGAGGCGTATTTGAGTTGCTTTTAGATAGTCGCGTTTCAGATGCATCGTCGAGCTCAACTTTGCCAGCAAATAACAATTCGCTTTTAGTGGAGTTATTTTTTCGCATCGTCATTTTTTCGATTTCACGTTTTCCATACTTTTCGCAATAAAAACAAATCAATCCATCTTTGACCAAGTCTTCTAAAGAATTGTAAAGTTTATCCGCTAAGTAGTGATGTTTTCCGTCATAATAAAGCCGAAAATTTTTAACTTCTCCGTCGAAGAAAAGCACCAAAGTATACTGACCGCGTTGTCTATTGCTCTCACGGACTAAGTAAGCGCCTTGGCCGAATTTTCGGACTAAGTTGTCTGCCTCAACCCTATTTAACACGCCGTGAAAAACAAGTCCATAATGGTCAGGAATGTGAGCGGTTAAGTTAAAACTATGGAAATCGTTCAAAACAGGCACCGGTTTTGGCGCCTGTCTTTGAAGGTTGTAAAAATATAGATCGGGTTCATCATAAAAATTGGTTTGTACTAAACTATCCATAACAATTCTGATCTGTTTATAGCTAAGAGATCTAACCGCTCGGTTGTTTGATTGAATTCTAAATTGAAGTCTGAATGTTAGTATATAAAGCAAGATAATTTCTGGCCCTGTCAAACAATAGTTTAATACTCAAAACAAGTTATATACCATAGTTTGGTCATAATCGAAAAGAACAGGCGTTGTCACTGATTCATAGTCTCTCAATAAAAATTTACAAACAAAAGTATTTTAAACTCGAACAACCAAGCTGTATAAAGTATAACAATTTAAAAAAGCATTAAAAACTCGCAATTGGTTTTTTTGTGCATTAACAATTTTTTTGCTGTAAAAAATTCTGAGGGTGTTTCGTTGCATTTTTTCAGGTTTTGTTTGAATTTTTTTTTAATTTTGAAGTTGTCTAAATAGTTGTTTTTATAATAGGAGTGCAAACATCCGCCCTCCTAAGAAGAACAATTGATGCTTGCACGTTTCACAGAAAAATCCGAATGCACTAATCCTTTTGCAATGAATGTTTTACAAAAATAAAAAAAAACATACCATTTTTTTTCCAAAAAAATATGAGCTTGATTTACAAGTTTCTAGTTCGTTGGTCGGAACGGAGCCAATAAGCAAAATGAACAACAAGACGTAATTTGCGAGATCATAATGTATCAACTCAAAAAAGCCTGCGCATTTTCGTTAATTACTGTTTAAGTAAAACAGAAATTTTGCAAAATTCACAATGTTATCCTTCAGAACGAAGCTTGCACAAAAAAAATCATCAATCCTCCACAAAAAATAAAAAGTGTCTGCTAGTAGTGAACTGCTAAGTTAGGAGTAGTTGAGATGATCCAACCCATAAATTACACCCCGTCCATGTCAAACATGTCAAGTCGAAAAATACAGACACATCAGACCAAAAATTACAATTTAAATAAACTAGATGGCATGGAATATCAACAGCGAGACGACAATTGGTTTTTTGCAGCATTTCAAATATAGATACTACACTATTCGTCTTAAAATTTCTAAAATTGTTTGTCAAAATATTCAGTTCTTCACGACTCAGACTTCTTTTGAAATTTGCTTTGGAAGACGACCAAAAGGTTTTTAATATGATACCACACAATTTTTTTGATTGGCAGTAACTGTCAATAAAACACACTGTCATAATTTTTCCCCATCTGCTTAAGAGCGGTGGCGGGTACAAATAATCACAACCAGCAAGAAGCGCTGAAGGACACCAGCTGATACGTGCAACATCTAATTTTTCACAGCTTAACAAGATTCAAAGCAACAAGACTGCTCGTATACCAGAATAAAACTCTGATTGTTCCGACTGTCCCTCAATCGGTATCCATAAGTTGTAGGTAGAAGTTTTACAAAACCATTAAAAAGTTGTACAAAAATTGAGAAAACATGAGAATTACAAAAATAAAAAGAACAGTTAGCTTGTCTCAATTCAATTTCAGACGAGTTTGTAGTGCGAGATCATTCGCCACGCATAAAATAATTGCGTTACGCTTTCAGCGTCATAAAAGTTTCATATCGCGGATAATTTAGTCATCATTTATGGGCAAATTGGCAATTTTTAATTCCCAGAACTTCACGAAAAAAATAATAGAAGGTAAAATATCTTTTCTCATTAGAACTTAAGGAAATGATGCCTTTGACGAGGAATAAAGTTTTTTTTTTGGTAAAAACATCCTTCAAATTGCCGGGCTTAGACTGAATAAACCCCCCTCGAAACATAAATATTCCTCATTTCTTCGAAAGTCAGAACAAAAAGAACAAGAAAGAAAGCTTTAAGAAAAACTTTATGCAATGATTTTAAGTGAATTTTTTTTTGATACAAAACTTTAAAAAAACTCAAAAAAAGAAAAGGCTTCAGCAGTTAAGCCAGGAAGCTCAAAAAACTGTCCAAGGGCGTGCGAATCAAATTCACTGATCGCTTATTAGATTTTTGATATTGATCATATCACCACTGAAAGGATTGTTTATGATATGTCATTCTATTTAACTATAATTATTGTTGTGTATCTGAACTTGTCGAATAAAAATATCTGAATCGTAGTTTTTTCCTAATGGTCAGAGCCAGGGGCGGATTTAGGGGGGGGCGGACGCCCCCCCCTCAGGGATTTGACCCCTGCCGACCCAAAGGGTCCCCCCTTTGATACTTTTTCAGAAATCCATTTTTGGCCGACCGACCCTAAAATTTTTCTAAAGGCGCCTTCGGCGCCAATAAATGCTATTTTTGAGGGGGAGCGCGCGCCAAAAAAACGCATTTTTTTTGTCAAAATTTTTCAAAAAGTGCCCAAAAACGGCTTTTTTGACTGTTTTTTCAAAAAAAATTGCCTGCGAAAATAAGGGCAAAACAGTGCTCTTTAGGAGAGCGCGAAAAATAAAAATCAATTTGGTCGACCTAAAAAAAAAAAAAAAAAGGTCGTCAAAATTTTGAAAATCCGCCCCCCCCCCCCCCCCCCCCTCGAGAAAATCCTAGATCCGCCCCTGGTCAGAGCACTTACGTTTTTTGCTCTAATTAATTTTTTCATGTCTCAAAACACTTCAAATCCTAGAAAAAACTTATTAATCAAATATGAGAGCAATATTACAATGGGTGGCAACTTTGAAAACTTTTAAGTTAGTTCGTATGTTAAACTTGAGAACTAAAGACATTTAATTATTTAAGTTTTAATAAATAATAAATGTTTCAATAAATAATAAACTTTGATAAAATTATTGAGCTTTCAGAGTAAAATCTCGACAAAATTACGTACCATTTTTCATCGAAATATTTTTCTAATCAAGAAAATAAACACTTGCAAAATTAAAATTTTGATAACAGAATACTAGCCTAAAAAATTATGGTCTAAAAAATGAAACAATTAAGAGTCAGACATTTCAAGAAATGTGTCGCCCCAAATTTATAAGATAATCAAACTGTTCATCAAAAATATCCGGAAAAATTTTAGATAGGAAGTTACTTGCTTTTGCAAACTGTTATAATAAATCAACATAAACCAATCGTTTTAAAATTAAATGTGCCATTTAATGGAATTGCTGACCAATTTTTTCAACCTCTGAGCAATTTTTCAAACTTCAACCACCAAGTAGCAACTTTGAGGTGCATTTTTTTCACATAATGACTCCAAAAAATTGTCTGTTACTAGGATGATTCAAACAGCTAGGGTTCATATGTGAAAATTTTTCTTTTAGTAGTAAACTCTTTTGATCTTTTTTGCTTCCCATAAGTTTGCGTAACTTTTTATTAATGCATGGAGCTCCAGGTCGCTCAATATAATTCCTCATTAATTTGATGATCGTTGAAATTGCAGAAAGTTTTTTTTGGCTTTTCTAGTATTTTTTTCAATTTTGATCGTCAATTCCATGCCCAAATAATAAGCGTAAATGCATACTAAATAGGAACAAATTGTTTACAAGAAACTTTATCAGCAACAGAAATGCACTTTTAAATTAGATGCTATAACACATAATAGTCACAAGGTTTTTAATATGAGGGACTTATTTGTTAAAGATGAGCGTTTAATTTGCTAAGGCATTTGTAAGACATTGATATTGAGCTAAAAATTTAGTTAGAAAAAATTAGTTACAATAGTTTTTTGCGCAGATCTGAACTTCGAAAAAAGTTCGGTGACAAGCAGAAAACACATTAGGTACGGGCGAGTAGAGTAACTTGCCGTTTAAGATGTCGAGTTTAGAATAATAGTTGGAGCTGCTAAAAAATACTAAAATTTAGAAAAGTTGATTTAAGAATTATGTCAACTACATATTATGGTCTTAATAGAGGAACAAAAACTTATCGGCGCAATTTATTAACACCGCCGGTTTGAGAACAATGCAAGTTTCTTGAACAGGAGAAACAACAAACGTAACGCAAATGTCAACGTCAATTAATTGTCGGCGATAAATTTTGGTCCACCTTAAAAAACCCTAAGTAGTGAAGCCCAAAAAAGAAATAAAATCGGATCCGCCTGTCAGTAAGAAAAATGTCAATTCTTTCAAGGAGACTGAAAAAACTGGCCTTTTTTGAAAAGAGGAAACATTTCGAAAAGACTGCCCTCTTTTGACGAGACAAAATCAAAGTGAATTTTTTTTTGCTCAATTTATATTTTTGTTTTTGAAGAACAATTTAAAATCAACTTGTAAAAATCATTTTAAATGTAAAAATCAACTTAAGACTTATTTCAAAAAAAAGAAAACTAAAAACTACACACCTGAAAAAGTATCTTTATTTCGTTCATTGAAACCTTATCAGAAATATTTTGGAGAAGTTTTCCTAATACACTATTAACCGATTTGAATAACACGCTTGCACCCGGAAAAAATGTTTACACTCTTCAGCTTCCCTCTAAATTCTGGTACTATTTTTCCCATTGCTTCTATTTTACAACCAGTTTTCGTTGACTTACCCTAAAACTTTTCTGAAGGCGTCATTGAACCCAATGTTCTCTAATAAAGTCCGGCAAGAGTGCGCCAACAAAAATCTTTGGTCAAAATGTTCAAAGTGTCAAAAAACGGCATTTTTGTCGGTTTTTGTTTAAAAATTCGACTTCGGCACAAATTTTTTGCCAAAATACGTTCTTCGTAGGGTTTCAGAGGCACTCGGAAATCATTTTGGTGTACCTAATAAAGGTTGACAAAATTTACAACTTTTTGAAAAGCCTCAAGACTTGCCATTTCCATTCATTTGCGGTATTTGAACTGTTTTTATTAAAATTAAGCATGCGCCAGTTTCATTGTCAGCTTAAGTCGACGCCGAATAACTTGTCTGCTTCTAATGCCCAAAAAACGCAGGCTAACGGCGAGGTCGACAACTTTGTCTCGTTTTGCTTAACTCGCTTCAAAGAGAGATACACTAAATTACATTCCCATATAAATAACACTTTTCCATAACCGTTTTTATTTATAATTCAATTTAGATAATGAGGCTATTGTAATATTTTACATTTACATTAACTGTACAATTTGTAGTTTATCTTTCAAACCCTTCTCCTTTCTAAAACGCAAGTTCAGCATGTTGAATTTCGCCATGAAAAGTTTCTTGTCGGCAGTTTCAAAATACAAATTAAGAATTCGGCTTGTAACGTTGACTGAATTAGTATCGTTGTTCAGTGTTGAATTCGACGAAGTTTTGCTATCTGATTCTCCTGCGAAAGACGAACAAGTTTCACTGCTTTTTCGGACACCCGAAGAAGACGTCATATTGTTCACACCTGACTTGGACTCTTCGTGGTCCATTTCCTCTTCGTTGCTACTCCCCCCTCCCCTAAGTTCGCCTCTGGCACCCCTGGATGCGGTGAGTTTGGTGGCCGAGTCTACATATCTGGACAACAGGTCCACACTGCTGTTGCAGTCGGAGTCAATAATGAGTTGGTGGTTATCTCCCTTTTGGTCTAAATAAATTAGCTTATAGAAACTACAGACGGTAAATATTATCTTGACTAACAAGAACTCTCGTTATCTAGGAATGTTTTATGACGTACCGAATGATTTGAAGAGGCACGAGGACCAAATATGCTTGAAATAGCCAAATTTGTAAAATCATAATCATAAGTTGCCAATTTTTAAAATCATTAATCAAACATTAACAGTCAAAATTCCAGAAGTACAAATTCACAGTTAAAGCGGGAAAAGATCCCAGCAATTCAAAAAGTATTTACCTGACAGATCTAATTGCAGGAAAATTTTATTCTCCTCTAGTTTATCTTCAAACACAGAGACGAGATGAAAAGGGTAGAAAGCAAATGACGGTTCCATGTTCAGACTTGCAATCGTGTGTCTCAACCAGATGAACAGTCCTCTGCCACACAATCCCAGACAGATCGTCAGCTGATTCTTTGTTGACATTATCGACAACGTAGCATTCACTACAACCTCAACCAAAATTTTATCAATATCCACGTGAAAAGAGTTTGAAGTAGTTATGATCGTGTTAAACAGATGAGGCGTCGGACAACTCATGAGATTCATCTGCAACTTTGGACGTCCTTTCGGCCGATGCTCGACTGTCAATCCAGTTGTCGTCATTAAACCTTGGCCAGTGTGAGCCAAAAAGTCGGCTGCTCCTCCTATCGGCTTCGCCAGGACCCCGACCAACCCCGCACTCACACCCTTCATCATATGGCCCACTAACTGAGGCCCTGAAGAACTTCCGTCGGCTTTTGTCATCGTCTCAATTGGAAGATTGACAACTCCTGCTACCGCTCCTAGGAGTGCGACTCCGAATCCTGTCATCCCCTTGACCACTCCATTTGAGAAGTAGACCGGCCTGTGTCTTCGTAACTGGTTCTGGTAGTTGCTATATTCGGCGTCCATTGATATGCGGTCAAGATTTTTCGCGATACTGAATGATAAGTTGACAAGACAGCCCAGAGCTCCAGATGATATGTGTTTAACACATGACAACCCACCACCAGTGATTCCAGTGATAAATGATGTCGGGCCTCGGGTAAGTCCGTCGTACGGCATCGTTACAAGGTCTTTCAGACCCGTTCTAAACTCACTGACAAACCTCATCGGGTTCCCAATTATATCCAGAGAGCCCAGAGCAACTCCTGCTTTTACGAAGAGTCCAGATCCGTAATGCAACATCAGATCCTCGCCCAAACGTTTCATAGACACAGATGACAGAAAATCTTTCTTGAAGGTATGGAAATATAACGGGGACTGATCTAAGGCGATATAGATCTTTATGTTTGCGTGCAAACTTAGTTTGACAGATATTGGAGCAATTTCTATAGATTCAACTGGAAGCAAAGATGAAGTTTGCGTTGATACTTTACTTTTTTCGTGCTCATTTTCAGACTTCATCAGACGTTGTACTTGAGCTCCATAAAACATCATTGTAGTGAAAAATGAGTCTTCAAACAGGCATTCCATTGGCTGCGCTTGCAGCTTCAAAGATCGGACTTTGAACAATTCGTCACTTTTCTTAATTACTACTTCTAAAGAAGCAGCATGTAATTCAGTGTCATCGCTATTGTTTAAACTTTTCGGACGCTCCAATTGGAAAATGACAGGAAAGTCAAATTGGGACGTACTTTGGGCTAACTGGTTATCGATTTGAACAGATCCAATCGAGATTCCTAGTTTGTAACTGTTATTGTACAGAGGATCCAGACTATTGACCTGTAAACCGGAATCTTCGATGGTAAGTCTGCATATCTCGGATGGAAACTCTTGCGAAATTGCACAGTCGAAGTAGGAAAAAGTGGTGGATTTTATGCAAGCTTTGAAACTAATTTTGGTTGCTTGACTCAAAACAACAAATTCTCGTGGAGATAAAATATCGAAAGGTTTTGGCAACAGTTTGAAAACTGTATGCAGTCCTTGACTTTCAAATTGTCCATAAATACAACCAATTCCTGGAACCATTACCGAAATGGCGTCTAAAGAAACGTCGATATGGTCACTCCAATTCTTAGATTCTGATAACTTAGAACTTTCTCCTGAACATATTCTAATTAAATTGCAGTTTCGGATTACTTTTGTGTCTTGAGGTCCTAGCAAAGTTAAGAAGCTACAATTGCTTTCAAGTAACTCTTCTGGTAAACCTTTTTGATCTTTGCAACTTCCTATAATCAACGATTTTTCGGTCATGTTTACACACAGAATACCTGGTTGTCCACAATTTTCGATTTTCACAATATCTGGCCCGGACTGGATGCTATATAAATTAAGCGACAATATCCTTTTGCCCACATTTATAAGTGTCTCAAAAGATCCGCTGAGAACTACTTTCGATATAAACTTCGTTGTTTCACTGTCGTACAATTTCAAAACTTTTATTACAGGCGCAGTGCTATTTTCGTGACTCCATGGATTCAAAACGTCCTTTCCTTCAGTCTGACTTGGCAAATCAAGAACTTTTATTTCAGAATCGCCGGAATATGACGATGACTTTGATTCACAGAGACTATATTCGTACTTGAAATTGAACTCAGTCATGTTCGAGATTTCAAATTGGTCGAAAATTGTCACAACTCTAGTGCCTGCCAAAATTTCACAATTCAGTTTCAAAAAAATTAATTCGTTGCAAGACGAGGACAGTTTGAAAGTTTGAGAATCGCTCAATTTTAGACCCAAATTAGTGTTCTTTGAGAAACTTCTTGGCACTTCATCTTGGAGTAATTCGACTACTATTTCACTGAGTTCCATATTCTCGGATTTACACTTAAGAGTCAATTGCGGACAGTCTCGATTGATAAGAGCACCAGAATTGTATCCTAGCTTCATACTGTTTGTTCCGAAATGGGTTTCACGTTTCACTGAAACTTCGACTTGTGATTTGTTGATCAGAACCAGTTTCGGAAACACACTCAAATCAGCCGAGTGGTCAAACTTTTCCGATTTGAGTGTGAGTATGTTTACCGAAATGTCACTTGTTTCTTCGAAGGAGTCGACACTTGCCAAAATGTTGCTCAATTTTTTCGCATCCTCTTTTAGTTTAGGATCTCCGATGTTAGCTCGGGTAACTGTATTGCTTGAAAAAGTAAACGGTGGTTGGGAAAATAATGGCAACCCAGTATTGGACAAAAGGTTTGCCTCGTACACACAATTTCCATTTAGTTCAAGCAACTGTTTCGTAGTATTCGGTTTCAGATAAACGGCTATCGAATCGGAACTTGCGCTCAAATTTGAGCACAGCAGAGTGAGTTCAAAGGGTAACAAATTTCTCACAGTAAATTGGGGATACAAACTGACTGCAAAACTTTTTTCTATTTTACAAACCGCATTTACGGTTCCGATTTTCACTTTTTTCGAAGGATCCGGTTTAAGCACTGATATTGACGTTGAGGTTTCACTTTCTTTGGAACTCAAATGCATCAAAACTATTTCCTCGTTGTTTGGTAATGGTAGCATAATGCTCTTTGCTTCCGGTCGCTCGTTCTCTTCATCTACTTTCGAAACTTCTGTTTTCGCACTTTTTACTACGACTTTATTTTTCGGCGACAATAAATCAGTTACTACTTTTAAATCCGCGTCTAAGTGATTGGTAAGCGAAAATGAGTTTGATACTTCAATTAAAACCAACTTACACTTTTCGGTTGATTCTCGACAACGCAAGGATACCGAATAATATCTCGGATCTCTATGGTCTGAGAGACATACAGTTTTAGTTTGACACCTAACTAACTGAACTTTGGCAAAGTTCGAATCCGTATTAATTGCAACATTGATCGGTGAGCTTTCTATAGGCAGCGGAACTGGCATTTGAGTTTCAGCCGGGACATTAATAACTCCAAGATTTGGATGTTGAACAACAAGCACGCATTTCAGATTGTTTACGAGAAGATATGAATTCACACACGCGTTTTCGCAGATGTCGGCAAAGTTCAACGACGAAATGGCCCGCAGTTTCGGAAGAGACAATTCGACATTTACATCACTGATTTGAGTTGAAACTTCAACATTTTTGAGATCAGGCGAAACCTTGCCGTCGACATTAATCGAAGGCACGTTTACAATATTTTGGAAGAAACCATCGCAGGATAAATCCACTGTCAGTGATGTGAACTTTAAGTTGAAAACAAGCATTTCTTTGTAATAATCCAAGAACAGGTTGATATTCTGGGTGCTCAATTGGAAAACGTCTACAAAACCAATCGATTCTGTGGCGAGTTTGGAGTGATTGCAAGCATTCAAAGCTGTCAAGTTAAGCTGAAGTGTTGAATTCAATCGTACGCTCACGTTTGACCTCGAATTTCGGGGAGCAAATGAATTCACGCGGGTTGCACCGGCTAGCGACACAGCTGAAATTAATTTCAGGGACTGTTTTGAGACTGAAGTTTGCACTTGCTTCGGGTACGTTGAGAGCTCATTGTTGAGAACTCGCAGTCTCCACATGGGAGAAATAACATCTAACTCCGACCCAGGTTCCAAAATTGAAACCATTTCATCTTCACTAATTTTGCGTTCGAATTGAACAGTGAATTTCTGTTTAGCCACATCCCAGGAACTCAATTCGATATTAACACAAGGTTTCATTTTGGTTTCAAACGACGTTCTAAACGGCATAGGGGCTATATCCAGCTTGCTCAGACGTCTCGGAGAATCGTAGCACCACGTCATGTATGTTTCCGGGTCATTTTCATCTGAGAACGACACTTGGTTGACTCCTGGGAACTGGCTTGCTTGAGAGTTCTCAGACACATAGGTCAAGTTTCCATTTCTGACGTCATCTTCAGATCCTTCGGAAAATTCTGAGTCTAATTCTTCACTTTCGGAATGATCATCAATATCTATTGCTACGCAAGTTGAATCAATTTTCACTGGTGCTCGTGATCTATCATTTCTTGCATCTTTTTGACTTACAATTTTACTCAACAACGCAATCGATTTTATTGATTCTTGTAAATGCTTATTTAATTCAAGTTTGACCAAATCAGTGTCAACGTCTACAAAACTGAGCGACAAATTAGTATGATCTTTCTCAAAAATATACACAGCCTTCGACCTGAGGTCAAAAGTTTCAACGAACGTTTTGGACTTCTTGACAGCAGGATGAACGTATGATGCGTGAATGCTGTTCATAGCAACGTCGGCGAATACAGAAGCCTGAGATTCGATGTTACAAGATGAGCTAATTCTCGAAATTGCCAGCCTCAAAGCATGACCATAATCGTCCAAAATTGAAGCTTCGATGCCTTCTTCGAGCGTGGCTGCAAGATAAATCTTGAACTCTTCAGTCACAGCAGGGACTTCTGATGACTGGCTAAGTTTATCTGCGTTCGTTTTTTCGTTTTCTACCCCCGATAGCTCACAAAATTTATCCAACAAAGGCTTGAAGTTATCCAACTTGGAGATAATTTGCGAGTTCAAACAAAGAGATATCGGTGCTTTACATGTCAAAGACGAATCAATGCTTTTTGTGAAAACGCCATGTGCGCTTGCGCGAATAAGTGGTGCAATATCTCGGCCGCTTCCAACACAACTCAGCACATTTTCAAACAGTTCTGCTTCAGTCATGGACTTTCTTTTTGCTACGTTACTTTTTGCAATTCCAACTTGAAGTCCATATGATCCAATTTCGATCAAATCGTTTTCAGACGATTTATATGAGACAAATGAGTTGCGAATGTTGAACTTTCCAAGAGGGTTTAACGTGTTTATTTCATCATTTAGATTGAGTGAAACTTCGAACTCACAGAGTATCAGGAGAGCTTCAATTGGTATCGCTTTTTTAGACGCACTTTTCTTGGTATGCAATTCACTTGTTCTCACAAATGCGTTCCTCGACGGAGCTTCATTGATTGTTCCTAGTTTTCTTTTCACAGGTGAAAAATTATATTGTTGGTACGATTTTTCAGAGCAAAACGAAGTTTCTAATTCACTATACAGATGTCTAGTTTCGAGCTCCTCATTTTCATCTTTACCAGCATTTTCTGAGGGTAGCTCAAACGTGTATTCATTCATCAATTTTTGAACCAACAGCAAGAGTTCCTCGCTGATAGTAAAGTTTATATTTGTCAGTTCCATTTGAGCCGAATGTCCGCTAACTACAACATACTCAGTGTACTTGGAAGCTATTGGTCTCGTTATTACAATAGCAGGGGCGAACTCACTGCGTATGGAAACATTGTTCAGAACATGCCCCATTTTCAGGGGTCTGATTATTGCTTGTAGGTATTCACTTCTGTTCCACTCTAGGGCGGGATTTTGACTATGAACATCGAGGATTTCAAGCTTTTGTTTGTCGGGAGACAAGAGCAGGTCTTCCCACGGAACCACTCCAATGAAGAAATTGCTAAGAGTCAATGAGTATTGTCGGTCCTCAACTAGAGATCCCGGGACGTTTATGTCGCCTGACAACAAAGCTTTAGTGTAGAAACTGTTTTTCAGAATGGTTCGCTGTATTGGTCTGTCGGTATGTGGCAAAACTTGCAGGCTTTCCATTTGAACCAGAAGACAGTTAGCGCTTATTTCGTTATCGCCTTTCAAGTGTGATTGGTCCAATAGAGGAATACATATTCGGGATTCTTGGAAATTGATATTGATCAAAGGTAAACTTCTAACACATAAAACATTCGAATGTTTCCCAGATCTCTTGCCAGCTTGTGATTTTGAACTGGTGCTTGTTGACCCAAATTGAAGATCCGACGAATCGAACACATCGATTAATGTTGAGATAGTTTTCGACAGCAGCACCGAATCAAAGCTGCTCATGTTGACACATATTTCACTCACATAATTGTTCTCCGCGTGTTTCGATGCGCTTGGCATCTTCTTCGTCGTCTGATTGGCTAATTTTTGCAGTATAACTCGACTTAGAGCTCGCGTGAAAATGATCGAGCAGAATGCTTCTCGAGGTCTATTGTTGTTTTGACGGAACCGTCTCAAAAACTCCTCGGCACGACTCGCATTTCTCAAATCCTCTTCGTTTTCTTGACCATCTGTTGAAACTGAGTGACAAAATGTATCATATCGAAACCATGGATCACTTGAAAGTATCTTTTCGCCTTGATCAACAACTTCTAAAGAAGATACTTTAATTTTCGTCTGAAGGCTAGTTGAATGTTTGTCTGCAATCAGGGATATTTCATTCACAGTTGCGACTACAGCGGGCTTTTCAGACATTTTTCTATACAGCAATAGATCAAACTTGTTCAACGTCGCTTGTAAAAACATGTTTACTTTGAGACTTTGAGGAACTGCTGGCGAATGCTCACTTCTACGCGACTCAGATTCGAACTCTGGTCCTTGGTTCTGTCGTGCGCCTTGCGATGTTGACTCGGCGTTCGCGTCTTCACTGTCGGCGTCCGAGGTTGCGTTAGTTCTCCAAATGATAGACGGACTTGCCATTGAATCCCTCACAACACTCCCAAGAACATCATGGCAATTTTCAATTGGGAACTTCAGGACTGTGCACACGTTTGAAGCGACATCGAATAAAAATATGGCACAGTGGAGACTTTTGATTAATCTAGAGTTTGAAAACAGAATTTGAACGTTCTCGCAATCGAAGTGACAAGAAAGCGCCAAAACATTTGAACTGTGCTCACCTCCCGGAGAATGATGACTACTTTTTGAAGTATTTGTCACGGCACAATTCAGACTTGTAGTCTTGATTAGGACGATGGTTTCCGAGTCACTTTTCAATTCCAAAAACGGGATATTCAAGTACCACGGGAACCCAGAAGTCCTAGGCGCATTGCTGCTGGCAGAACTGTCGCTTGCAACCGATATTGAATTGTATCCATGACTGGTTAATTTAATGACCGGTAAGGATATAGTCAGTACTGATAGCGTTTCACTGATTCCATTTGGGTGGTAAAAGTTCACTTGACTATATTCAGTTGACATTTGGAAATTTAGACACTTAATTTTGTTCAACATAATGAAATAATTTTGTTCGCGTGGTTTCTCGTACATTGCTAAAATGACAGAAGCCGAGCAATAATTCGAGAAAACCTGTTCGCCTTTATACAAAAAGAAGGCAGGCGAATTGTAATTGATTGCAGGGTTGCAGTTTCCAGGAAATCTGATATCAAAACATAGCCACTCTCTAAGAGCAGGTACAAAACTGGCATTAAAAGACGAAACATTGATTTCGAACGAATTGTTTTCCACATTTAGGTTCTGAAAATCACCAGGCAAAGATGCTTTCACTTCTATAAAAGCATGCGGCATATTCTTCGATTCCGTCTTCAAAATCTGCGTGTAGCCGCCACCTTGCGTTGCCTGGAAATAACCAGCTGTAAGATGTCCAAAATTGGCTCGCGCCACAATCAAGTCTGCTTTTGAGTAGGACTGGAGATCAGTGTAACTCGAAAAGAGATGCAATTTAGGCAATGAGTCGTCAAAGATATCGTAGCAGATCGAAGAACTGCTCAGTTTTAAATGAGAGTTTGTCTTTGGATTGGTGACACTATTTGAACTCATGGCAAAGTCTGCCAGGAACAAAAACTGAGCCTTGTTCAAAAACAGCTCCAGTGGTGATGTTTGGAGTTGGTAAAAATTTGAGAACTCGAGGTCCGAATCCTTCCAGAAGTTTTGCAACAGCAACGCGCTGGACGTATATGATATGTCTACTGGAGAAGTGAATGTCTTCTGGTTCGCCGAAGAGTTTGGATCGTTAACCAGTTTACAGAACGAAAGAGTTCCCTTATTGATCTTCGCAGTTGTTGTTGCGAAGCACTGATCGAACAAAAGCTTGTCCAAATTTGGGACTAATGACAGCATGCCGACAACATGCTTAGCATACATCGGGGTCGTAAAGTTTAAGCTGATAGAGTCACAATTGGCTTGGAGGCACAGCAAAGGCAATGAGTGGTTGACAGTTTGATCTTCATACAAAAGAGGCAAACTGCTTTCCAGGTGCTGATGATTGCTTACGGATATCACTACGTTTGGAGAAATTACTTTCACAGACTTCTGTCGCTTCGATATGAATTTGTTCAATAATGACCACTCCAAATTACTAGGCAACCGATGGTTTGTTTCATTGGGTACTACTTGTTTCGGGGTGCTGTAGGGCTGATAATTGACACCAACTTTCGAGGCATGTTGCAAGACTAAACTGAGTCTGTGAACAACACTACTAGTTATCATTAAATTACACGGATAGACAGTCAGCTTCATCCACGACGCTTCAGGGTAGGGCAGCAGTCTCTCTGATGGGTTGTATACGATCTCCCCTATTTCGGATTCATTGGCACTTAGCTGGAAAACGTAACCGAAATGATAAGCTCCAAAAACATCTCGCATTCTTTCCTCGGTCATAATTTTGAAATGTGAGTCTGCGTCTAAATTCGTTGAAGGCTGAATTCCATTATTATCTGGAGCTTCGTCGTCAAAAAGAGAGTTTGTCAAATAATTATTACCAACTTTAAATCCTAGTGGCTCTCCTATAGAGAAGAAAGTGAACTTTTGATCATAGGAACAGTCACGTGCTCCGCATGGACAGAACCCGTGAACAGATGACGTCACGGATGTTGAGGCCATATCTACACTTAAGAACAGGAGTCCGAACATCTGAAGATCCATTCCACATCCTTCGGCATCAATTCGCAATATTGGCTCTACTGGTAATTTTCTAGAGGGAGTCGAATATGTTGGCTTGAAAGTTATGGCGAACTTCTTTGCATAAACTCCTATCGACATCAACTGAGGCGTTTTGAACTTAGAAGTGGACGCATTTGGGTCATTCCAAACAGCTGGCACTCGCGACCAGGCCCAAGAGATCCACCCTTCCTGGTTTTCAGAGCCGTCATCCAATTGCAAAGCTTCTAGATTATGTTCTATGTCCAATTCAGGACTGATCGTTACGGCACTGCTTTGGTTCATTGCATCACGGTCGCTTGGAGAGAGGTCAGACTCAATGTAAACGCATCTGTTTGGAAGTTCAAGAGATCCATAGTAGATCTCGATTATCAAAGAAACTAATCTGAGAAACATCGGCAGCTGGACATCCGAAATCGAAAGCTCGAAGGAATCGAAAAACACATGAACCTTCACAGTCTTTGTTCTACTGCAGGATGGTGAATCGAAAGTTATGTGCGTTCGAACTGCAAATGAGCATCGGTATAAAATCGGATCTTGATAGGACTCTATTACACCATTGTTATTTCTTTTGTCCAGGCAGATGGTTAAGTCTCTAATATTGCACACTTTTCGCACAGCTAAATTTTCATTTTGAGCTGCGTCTACAAAAGCAGGTCCCCAGTTTTCATTCGCTGTGAACAAGCGAAGCGAAGTCAGGTTCAGAGAAAACACAATATCGTCTTCGATGTACTTCAAGATCAAATTATTGATATTTACTGAGACATTGTTGATTATTTTTGTTACGAAATTCTGAGTGTAACTCGAGGACATCGTCTGGTCAGGATTAGGCTGTAAATTGCTCGCCACTGGATCTAAATTTCGGCTCTCTGCAGTTCGGCCAGCTGATGTTTGCTCTTGGCTTGTTCCAGCTCCAGACATCGGTGCTGGCTTTAGTGTGAATACAAGTTCAATGGTGCTGATGTTAACAACAACTGGCTCGGAACCCAGAGTCATCCAGGGTATTTTCAGATCTAGCTGGTTGATATGTCCACTAAGCAACTTGAAAGGCATCTTCAGTTCCTGTTCGATCACGTCCAAGCGCAGGTCTAGTTTGTGAAGTGTTACATCTCCGTTCCAAACTGAGAGATTGAGATCACGTGGCTGAATGTTTTTGATGTACTTGCTCACATAACTCATGAGCAAGGGAGCCACGTATGACTCAAGCATGGCTGCTTCAAGCTTTTAACCTGAAAACAATCCAGCTATCGATTCTGAGTTATTTAAACCGTAGCCGATTGTATTTGCATTTAGTTTGTTTTCCAAAAAAAATTTCAAGAATTTGAAATTTAAGGTTCGATCGCAATTCTTTAGGTTGCGAGCATTTGGGAAAAAATCTTAAACTTCAGATTTCATAGAAGTACTTTTCTCACCAGACTGAAAATGAATACCCCGATGAAATCTAAAGGTTTTTGCAAAAGAAAATTGCAAAATTACCTTAATTTCTTTGAAATTTATTTTAAATAACAAACTGAATGCAAATACAATTAAAACGGACGAATCCGGCTATCGAATTAAATAGCTCATAATAACGCAGCAAGTGAAGTTTTGACTAAAAGAAATCTTTAAGTGCTCAAAAATAAAATAATAAAATCGGAAGGAATAAGTTTGCATGATTCAGCTATCCTATTGTTACACAGAGAAGCTGAGCTTCGCACCACTTGCGATTCAAATATGAATACCTACGATCAAAATCGAACGGAAACAAAAGGAAGAAAAAAATTCAAAAATCGTTTTGTCAATAACAAATTGCAACAAAAGCCCACAATATCCGGAACAAACTTGACTGCATCATTCGACAATTTACAAAGAGCTTTCTATATGCTAGAAATCAGCCAAATTTTCAAAGAATACATTTCTGCGGGACTAAACTGACGAAAATAAGCAGACATACGATAGACCAAAAAAGCACAAAAAAATCTAGTTTGCAAAAAAAACAGGTCTCGGCCGGATTCGAACTACAACCCTTTCCCATCTCAAGCAGTGGTGCTACCTCTACGCCAGATGGCTGATTGAATTTGAATTTATGATTACCACGCGGTAATAAAGCTGAGAAAACACTTGAGCAGAAAACCTTTAAGCCAAAAAAAATCTTAACTACAAAACAATTTAAGTCCCTTTCTCCTCAGAGAACACGCACACACGCAAAAAAAAATCGATCCCCGAACGACGCAATTAGAGGCCACTTGATCGATATAAATTAAACCAAAAGTTATTAATCCGGTAAAAGACAAATGAAAACAAAATGACAAATGGAGTAGGTAAAATTACAACCAATTTTCGATTCGGCCGGATTTTTAAAATGCTAAACACTTAAAGCAACCACAGTGAAAACTGCAGCAAGTTTTTGCAGCAAAGAAAAACGATTCTTAAATGCGACAAATAAGCCGACAAAACATAAGAAGACAAATAATAGACCGAATTTTTTTAAACCGGAATATTTACCGTTTGAAAAAAAAAACAGGTCCTAGTCAGATTCAAACCAAAGACCTTTGCCGACCCAAGCGTATTCGTTATCTACCAAGCTAATAGTGCAGGAGACACTATGAAATTTGAATTCATTATGAACCAAGGTACCGCGAGTCCAGATTAGTCCTGTGGACAAAGTTATTTATGAGAAAAAGTCTAGTATCCGATTGCAATACCCTCCCTTGCTTATCGCAAGGGTAAACATTAAATAAGTCAGAATAAACCTGAATAATATCGGAACAATTTAGGTAAAATTTCAATTTGGTGGATACGAATTAAAACTTAAAATCCAGCGAGATTTTACCATCATACAGAAACCATTTTTCAACAATCTCGACAATTATGAAAATTCGAGAATAATTAGCTGATGGAAAAATGCTCGAACTTCTCTGCAAGTTGGAATATCCACAAAATGGAAATAACTGTCAACAAATCTTTCAATTTACACCCTCATGTTATAAAAATGAAAAAAGAAAAGCTAGGAAAGTTAAAAAACAAGGATTGCAGATTTCGATAACAGCAATGAAAAACAATTTTTTCAAAAACTTTTTTTTTCGGGGCAACGGACGAAAGACAAAACTAGATGAAAAAATATTACTGGTTTCAGGTAACTACAATTATTGTTGGAATTCATAAGAAAGCAAAAAAAATAAAAGCGGATCGAAACAATTTACGATTCCATGAATTTTTCGAACTTTAGGTTCCGAGAAAGTGCTAAACTGCTAATTTAAGCTAAAAAAATTCATTTACAGCCATTTAAGGGAAGACAACAAAATTCTCCATGCCAATCTAACAATGTAATCTGCGGGTTTGAGGTTTAAGGTTGTCAGTTTAAGGACAAACAACAAATGAAACAAAAGATTGAAAAAAGTTTCTATACGGTTTTCTAATTATTTTGCAGAATAATTTCAAAATAAGTTGAAAAAATTTATTGCACAAAAAACGCTAATGCAAGCATCCAAAACGAGTTTTCCTTTGATTACAATCCACTTTTATTGGCCTAGTTTTTTATAACGAACGTAACTTGATCGCTCCACTTGCTCGAAATTAGACCTAAACTGTAACACTTCAGATTAGATTTTCTCGCCACTGGGACAGTTTTTGAAAATTTTTAAATGACGTTCGCACCACGACTGCAAAGTCTTTAATATGATAAATCAATCAATCCATCCGATGATTATTTGTGATACCTGGTTTTGCGTGGAAAACAAAAAAAACATGAATCCAAAGTTATTACCAACTTTCAATAGTCGGAACAAAAACAATCGGAGACAAAGTTTCTCCAGACTATCAGTGGTCGCGCAACGACAAGTATAGCCGGTTGCTGTGCAAGTAGCACAGAATTTTCTGACCACATTGAGTTAAGCAGACCAAATAAAAAATAAGGAAAATTCAAAAAAATTATCAAGCGGGTCCTTTGTTTTTTGATAATATCATATCTATTTCGAACTTGCTTTATTATTTAAATATCACGAACAAAGACTATAAACACTATCAAGATTTATGCCATGTTTCCGTTTTGAAAAAAAGAATGACAATGAAAAAGCATTGATTCTCTTCGATTTTATTACTCCGGACTATGGAATTTGACGTGCAACTACCTTTGCCTTTTGGCTACCTATCTGATAGATAGGCTAAGATATGAGTAACTGTAACGAATATGAGAGTAGTGAGAAATCGATTACACTGTAAAAAATTTTAAACTTTAAAATGAGAGCGGTAATTCAAATTTATCTAAAAGAAAACTGGATTAAAACACAGAGAGCCGTAAATAAAAGTTTTTTTTTCAAGAAAATATACTTAAATCAATTTGCTTTAAGGAAGGGAACAATTTATTTTTTCAGTGTCATACAACTGTACCAAAGTTTCAAAATTTCACTTTCAGCCCTTACACAGTTGACACCATTAAAAACTCGGTCATTATTATTTGCATGCTTATTTAGCCGGTATTTACCAAAGCACCGCACATAAATTCAGCTTACTAACAATTACACCCCATTTTTCACGAAGGTTTCAAATTTGTTCGATACTGTTACAGTTTTGTTCACATTTTCACTCCTAACTTGACTTTGTCTTTGCTTTTATTTGATAAGTTTAAAGCCATTCCACTTTTTTTTATCTTGCGTCTTCATATTAGATACAAAAATCAATCTAAGCTAACGAAATGAAGTCAGTTGGAGCTTCAGTGCAGTCATATATTCGTGAATTGATGGAACTTTCAAGCTGGGCAATTGCCCAGAAAGCAAATTTGACTCATGACTATATCCAGAAAACGGAAAGCACAATTATCTCCCCTGCCTACAAAATATGGTGGTCGTCCGCGAAATTTGACGGACCGAATGAACGAAAACTGGTGCGGTCAATTAATCTAGATACAGCACCAGCTGAAGCGTGTGAGCTGTTTTCTGAGAAAGGAAAACGGGTTTCTCCCCAGACAGTCCAAAGGATGCCGGTGTGAAACCTCAGATCAAGAAAAAAAGCCCAAAGTTCCCCGACATCGACCCCGAAAATTAGAATTTGGGCATCGCTATCGTCATTGAACTATCGATGATTGGAGGCGTGTAGTTTGATCGGATGAAACTAAAACCGATCAGGTCTGATGGGTAGCAGTGAGTGTTGAAGAAGCCTCATACACCCAATCGCGATCAGCATGTGCAAGGGACACTGAAATAAGAAGTGGAAGTTTGATGCTCTGGAGATGCATGACTTCGCCAGAAAGTGGCCCAAATTTGCAAAATCGACAAAAAGTATGGATGCCAGTCTTTATACAGAAATTCTGACAGACAACCTTCTTGGAATTATAGAGCACTTCAGTTGGACCAGAAAAGATAAAATTTTTCAGCAATATAACAACGCAAAACATAATTCCAACTGGGCAAAAAAAGAATTTGACGGAAATAACTGGGTTCAAATTCTGGACTGGCGAGCACAGTCACCAGATATTAATCCGATCGAGAATTTATGGCATCGCTTGAAGCGTAGACTACAAACATATCCTGATCCCCCCAGCAGCATAAAAGAACTTTGGTAACAGGTTCAGGACGAATCGATTGGTATTCCTCTACAAATAGGCCTAGACCTTATTGACAGCATGCCTCGACGAGTTGGAGCAATTATTGTAGCATGAGGGGGATAAACTCACTAAGAGAAACTTTGGGGGATAAAGAAACTTATATCTTGAGTTTTTTTCGAGTCAAGTAGAATAGCATTGACTTTTCTCCGAAGTAGTTTCTTCTATGAACCCCGCAACAAAACTGCAACAAAATTGAACATACTTAAAACCTTCGTGAAAAACGAAGTATAAACGTTAGGAAGCTGAAATTATGCGCGATGCATAGGTAAATGGCTGCTAAATAAGCATGCAAAGAAAATGACCAATTTTTTTTTTATTAGTTTAGACTGTGTGAGGTCTGAGAGTACATTTTCGGAACAATGTTACACTTTTGAGAGACACTTTACTTACAAAAATTATCCAAATAAAATCTCATTTTGAAAAAACAACAAAAACATTTTGTTAGAAAATTCTAACTCTCACTTAAATTCTATCTAAAATAAGCCTATAAGCCAACAGATACAGAGACAAAATGCGATGAAAAAAAATATCTGTCAAGAAAAAGTTTTCAGAAATCAGATGGGAAAAAAGTTGGAAAATAATTTTTGAAAATTAAACGAGCAGCAAAATCATTTTGACACCAACCGATGTTTTAAACTGACCAG